TATTGACAGTAAACTAGGACTAATAGTGTCAAGTGCCTCTAATAAGAGACGAGGAGGAACAACATCCAGTGAACAAAAAGTGAGCTTCATTTTATGAATAATTTGCACCAGGTAACTGTGAGACACTGTAGTAAATTCAGATAAATATGTAGAAATTGATGTGGACTGGGAGAAATCCAGAGAGGAGGGAACAATATATGATCTTATAACATCGATCTTGTCAGTAAAAAACTTCAGAAAGTTTTCACAGGCTATAGGAGACGGATCCGGATATAAATTAGACAACGGATTTAACACACTATTAATGGTATTAAATAATATTTTTGTACTATGAGCGTTTTTAGCAATGAGATCAGAGAAATACTTCGCCTTTGCAATCTTAACAGTTTTTTGATAGTAAATCATACACTCTTTGACGCAGTTATATGATATTTGTAATTTATCCCTCTTCCACTTTCTTTCCGCTTTTCTCCATTTCTGTCTAATCGCCCTAGTTTCATCATTAAACCAAGGAAGTAGACAAATTCTAGGTCTTTTAAATTTAAAAGGGGCAACAGCATCAAGTATATTTAAACATAGCCCATTAAAATGATCAACTAGCTCGTCGGGATTAGCTCCAAGACAGTTAGACTCTATTTCATGAGTAATAGGGGATTTTCAGATGTGGATGAGTTAAAAGAACGAACATACCGGCCTACCAAGGCAGGGTGTGGTACAGAACTAGGAACGGCTATGTTAAAAATAATAGACTTATGATCAGATCAAATCTTTGATACCTACATCACTAACTAAAAAGCCATAAGATAAAATTAAATCAAGTGTGTGCCCTTGGTTATGAGTGGGACCAACAACAGATTGTATAAGATTGAAGGTATCGATAATTTGTAGAAACTCTTTAACCATAGGCTTCGAAGGACAACAAACATGTATGTTAAAATCGCCCAATATCAAGAGCCTATCTGCATTTGGCACAACAGAGGATAAAAAATCTGAGAACTCACTTATAAAATCCTTATTGTACTTGGGGGGTCTATAAACAAGTATACATAACAGTGGATTACAGCCGTCCATCTTAAATATCTGAACTTCAAAACTAGAAAACAATTCTGAGGCAAGTAGACGGCACTTTAAATTATTTCTATAAATAGTAGCTAAGCCCCCACCACGACCAACTGACCTTGTCGTGTTAAAAAAATTGTAATCTTTAGGACAAACTTCAGAGAGTGGACCAAGTTCACCGGCATTTAGCCACGTCTCAGTCATAAACAATAGGTCCAGCTCATGAGATAAAATGTGTTCATTGATTGCAAATGTCTTGTTAGAGATCGATCTTACATTTAGCAATGCCATCCTCACTTCAGTGGAGTCCGTATCCTGATGAGTGGGTTGATGGTAAGATGTTGTAGAATTTTGTTGATGCTCTGACGATGGGAAATAATCCAATAAACGAAGGTTGCGGGGATTTACTCCTCTTCTACAGACCCGTAGTCTAGGAGAAGTACTCCTTGACGAGAGCACCAATCCTAGTTGTTCCGGATAAACAAACACGCTTGAGAGATGCTTGAGAGACCACAAATACGAAATCATGTGAAATCATGAATATATGATAATATGATATATATATATATATATATATATATATGTGTGTGTGTGTGTGTGTGTGTGTATTTATATTATATGTATTATCTGTTATATTATTTTTTATAATATGCAAGAAAAGGTGGTGCTACGATAAAAAGATTAAAATCTAGAAGTGCCGGTATTGTGTACCGGCCCACTTTGAGCACTGGTTGTGGGGTGTTTGCATCCCTTGAATCCATTAACCCTAAACATTCACTGTCCTGTTGTGAACCTTTCATTCATACTTCACTGCCTCTCTTTCAGATGTGTATTTCATGCACTAGATAGAATCTGAGCTGAGAGTGAAATCTCTGAGCATGTGCAGTTCTGGACAGTCTTTTTCATCAAAATCCCCCCCTATGTCCACTTAGAGGCATTTCTGTGAATTGGGAGTCCCCACGGAGAGATAAGCCTAACTGAAGTCAGGGGCCACGTTACGGGGACTAACACAAATACAAGCCCAGATGACGGGGGGCCTTTGTGGCTTAATTGTGCAACTTGGCTCTACTCCCAGGCTAAACCCCGAAAAGAAAACAGCTCATGTGAAGAGAATGTGTTCTCCTCGGGCCAACAAAACATTTGCACAGATTGTGTTCTTGTTTTGGGGTGAAAGTGCTGGTCTTTTTTTACTATACCTAACCTAAAGCCATGGTGTTATATTACAGGACGCTGTTGCTTTCTGACTGTGGAATCCTTGGTCCATTACAGGAGTCATTTTTCCCTGGCAGAGAGAGAGTCTCCACTATTCTGTGATCCACCGGACTGCACATTAAGTACTCTTGCACTCACAAATATAAAGTTATTTATCCCTCATCACTTTAAAAAACAGAAGATGATGAGCTGAAGCAATGGGGTTCTATGCAACTCAAGAGAGGATGCCTGTCAGGGACAAAACAACAAAAACACTTTCCAGTAAAGTTCCATTTGTTAATAGTAAACAAAAAGACATTCTATTAACTAAAGTTACTTTGCAACTATATGTGTCCAAAAACAAAAACAAGAAAACAAAAGAAAACACATGCTGCAGCTCCGACGTCTTACCAGTCCACTACACAAACAAACCCAGGTGTGTGACAGTGTTGGGGAAACTTCACATTCAGCAAAAGAAGTGTTGCAGAATTCCAAGGATTGAGAATCGAGGACCAGCTCATATTTAAATAATAATAATAATAATAATAATAACTATTATTATTATTTGAATAATAATATATGCACTACTGGTCAAAAGTACATTTTTATGTTTTTAATGGGACAAGTCTCTTCCGCTCACCAAGGCTGCATTTATTTGGTCAAATTTTCAGCAAAAATAGTAATATTGTGGCATATTATTACAATAATAAAAAAGATATATATATATTTGAATTTATTAAAAAATGTAATGTATTCCTGTGATCAAAGCTGTATTTTCAGCATCATTACTCCAGTCTTCAGTGTCACATGATCCTTCAGAAATCATTCTAATATTATGTCATTATTACATTATTATTATTACTATTGTTATTACATCATTATTATTTTTTATTATTATTGATATTACTGTTGCTGTCATCACAAGGTATTATTGTTATCATCACCATCTTTAGTATTATTATGCACGCTAGTGCTATTGAAATACTACTATTCAGATTGTCATTGCTGTTTATTTTCATTGCTGTTCTACTGCTGTTTTTGTGTATGTGTTCACCGTGTGTTGTGTTTTGCACTCTTATACAAAAAAAATCATTATAATATGCTCCTCAAGAAATATTATCAATGATAACTGTTGATATATATATATATATGATACATTACCATTTAAAAGTTTGTAGTAAGTTTTAATCTTAATATTTTTATTTAACAAGGATGTAATACATTGATAAGTGACAACATATTGTATTTAAATAACAAATAAATGTTGTTTTGAAATTTCTATTCATCAAAGAATCTTGAAAGAAAATGCATCACAGTTTCCACAAAAAATGAAGAAAAAAAGTGAAAACTGTTTTCAACCTCATTGTTAATAATATGAACCACTATTAATAATTAATCACAAATAATAATTGATAATAACTGAGCAGAGAGTCAGCATATCAGAATGATTTCTGAAGGATCATGTGACACTGAAAACTCAAGTAAAGATGCTGAAAATTCAGCTTTGCATCACAGCAATAAATTACATTTGAAAAATATTAAAATAGAAAACAATTATATTAAATTGTAAAAAAAAAAAAAAACTTAATTATTCCAAACTTTTGACCAGCAGTACATGTACATAGTTTTCATTATGTTATCATTATGTGATTTCTGAAAAGCACTAAAACGTATCATTAATGGAATCAGAACATGAATGCATAAATTCCCATCTCAAATCTTGCTCTTCTGCTGGATAGAAGCGTCTGCTAAATGTACGGATATAACTGAACACTGGATGCTGAGAGAGAAGTGTGTGTTTCAAGTGATGTATTGTGATGAGGCACAGCGGTTTACATCTCTCTGAACACTGTTTGAAAAGGAAGGAAACATCTGGACCTTCATTCATGACAAGAATATAAATACTGGGCCGGTAGAACAGAGCATTATAGAAAAGTACAGTAACACCCTTAAAAGAGAGCCTGACTCCCAAACGCTTCACCTCAGTCGCTCCCAAACCAAAAACATCTAGCTTTCTGTCAAGATAAAGCAAAGAACACCAGGTCTCAGAAAACCCGCAGTTGCCAAGGGAAACAAACATTTGGTGATCAGTAGAGTTTTTTTTCCCCATTGCAAAGATTGTTTTCAAGGTATTCACATTTTTTTTCGACATGAGAGGAAGATAAAAAGCAGGAACTAATGTTCTACATATGTCCAGAATATGATACTACGCACCATAAACAAAGTAAGAATAACGTTTAAAATGTCTTTAGCGTAACTACAAAATGAAAGATTTTCGCTCAAGTGTGGTTTTAAAAAGCTCATAATGAGTGTATATACTGTATGATGCATTGCATATTGCAAAACAATTAAATGCATAAAACAACACTCTTAAAGACTCGGGGGAAATCACTTAAATGGGGTAAGATAGCACCAGTTCTGCAGCATCTCAAATCTGAGAATGCTTCTTCTGTAAAAGAAGCAGAAAGGGGAAACTCTGAGTTCAGCTCCATCCCCAATCAATCAAACGAACACATTTAGGCCTACATTTAAGATGTGTGCATTTGAATTGCACATACAATTTTCATCCGTTTGTATAACACAGTTTTTACAAAATCGAATAAACGGTGATGCACATTTGTCAGTCACACATTAATGAAACGAGTCACTCAAAAAACCATGGCATAGTTTCTTATTAACTCTTTGCATCTATTTGATTTGATCTAAATAATAATAATTTTCAAAATGCATTAATTCATATAGCTCAGAATCAGCATACATCTGTTTTAACTGTGAAAACGTAATTTGTTAATGGTTAAAATATGACTAGCTCTGGAACAAGCAATCATCATTTAGTTTAAATGTATGCGATTGAAACAAATTAAATGTACTGATGGTAAATATATATATACCTGGTTATTGTGCATTTAAAACATTCACTTTAGAAATCTTACCAGTTTCACTGATGCATAACTGACAAATATGCATTGCATTCTCTATTAGTTGATGTTAAAACGGTGTAATCCAACCGTACAGAAATTTAACATGCAATTCAAATACATAAATATACATAACATTTAAGCCTACATTTTTTTTCGTCTTTTTTGAGCGCAACTGACTGTACAGTAATTTTCAAGGAATCCTGAAGACTTTGGTTTGGTGAGTTTGACTAGTGATAAGAGCTGAACTCTGCAGGAGTCGCCCATCCTCGGTCTCGTAAATGAACACTTTGGGTAGTCGTCTCCCGGTTAACATGCCTGAGGAGGAAAACAGGGCCCCACATTCATCTGTTTAGACACTTTTTAAGGCAGTGTATTTTTGGTTCTTCGTAGAGGGCATCTGAGGATATGCAAAAAAAATACATGACAAACAACAAAAAACCCTGAAATGCAACTATCAAACAAATGGAGGCATGAGCTCAAGGTCTAATTGGTTAAGTGTCCTGAGGTTATACGTGGTGCTCGTTATCCTGCGGTTGTGACGGCTGGTTGAGGCACACGGGGCAGCACGAGCCTTTGGGCGTCACTGGCTTCAGACATGCTGTCTGCGGACACTTTTCCACAAAACACGTCACCTGGGCCTCCTAACAGAGACAGAGACACAGGAACACCTGAGCTGAAAACGGGACGATATTTCTGCAGGAATCATCACAGGTATGTGCCTTTCCTGACCCGCCATCCGTCACTCTCTGCAAACCAGTATTATGTTAGTATTATAATTTTTATTCATATTTTGAATTGGTTTATATTTTTTGTTTTAAATTTGTTGCGCATTTGTCATTTTATTATTATTTATGCCATATATACGTATATATGGGTAGTTGTCAAATATACCGTAAATGTGTCCTATGGTGTGACATACATACATATTTTTTATATACATTTTATTTTATTTTTGTCTACATTATCTTTAAATAACAATTTTATGGTTTTAATTTTAGTTTCAGTCAACGATAATAACCCTTGTGTGTGTGAGAGAGGGGAACAGGGTCACATCACAGGAGAGTGAACTGCCTGTCAGAAATCATAGCACGTCAGCTGTCTTAACCGCGGCTTGTGTACTGCATCATCACGGTGTCTGTCACGTGACTCTGTTGCCCTTTCGGGCTTGAACTGATGGTAAAACGAACTGTCTTGATATTTACTTTGAAAGCTGAAGCTTTTTTAACTTCAAACTATTGCTTCTGGCTAAAGCAGTGTTTCCCAATCTTTTTTTTAGCCACGGCATAGTTTTGATCATGTGTTTTCATAATGTTTTAATGATATCATTTTTTCTTACAAACACAGATTTTGGTTTCACATCATGTTAACTGATGGACTGGAGTGGTGTGGATTACTTGTGGATTATTGTGATGTTTTTATCAGCTGTATGGACTCTCATTCTGACGGCACCCATTCACTGCAGAGCATCCATTGGTGAGCAAGTGATGCAATGCTACATTTCTACAAATCTGATGAAGAAACAAACTCATCCTAATCTTGAATGGCCTGAGGATGAGCACATTTTCATTTTTGGGTGAATTATTCCTTCAAACTACATGTGATTGACTGCAGATTCTATCCCAGATTGAGTTAGAATGTTACCATGACATACAGTACCATGTGAGGGCACTTGTCTGTTTTTAACAGCTAAAGTTCCCCCTAGGAATCAATCGGTCTACTGATCCATCAATCGACAATAATAAGTACATGAGCGTGCTAGTATGCCGTGCATTCATTTGCAATGAGATAAAGAAAACACAGATGTAACAGATATTTAGCATCCAAAATGAACACTCACTAAGTGCCAAATGTGAGTAGAATTTGCCTACAGTGAGTAAAAAAAATCCTTCTCAATGAAAGCCGTTTGGTAAATCATAGATAAAATATTCCAAATGATTTTCAACACAGCCCAGTGAAACTTGGCTGTGTAAAAGAGCTGAAAATCCAGTTGAGAATCACTGCTTTAGACAAGTCGAATGTTTCTGTGTCTACCTGAACACTGGTACATCATGTAAAACTACATTTCTGTGCATATGCTCGTGTTTCCGCTCCACAGTGATCACAAGCCCATGAATGCAAGTAAGAATGCAGTACAGTCTATATGTGAACGCACCTGAAGATTTCAGTCAGAAAGGCTCAGCGCACTGATGAACTTACATGACACTGACAGGTGGTGCAGGGGTTCTTCTTCCAACTCTCTCCATCTACTCGCTCTCTCCCGTCCTCATCTGCACAGTCTGTCCTGCTCAGACGGCCTTCAAGTCTTTTTATCTGTCAGTACCAACAGAGAGAAAAAATGGTTTCATTTTAGGCAGATGATACACAGAGCAAATTTTGAGCAATTTTGCCGGGCAACTTTTTTTGAGGAATGCTGCTTGGGCACTTTCACATTGAGAATGGGTAACAAATTTCAATCTGGATACTTTAGATCGGTCGTGGGCCCTGTGTCTCACCTGGTTGCCCGTTGAGGGGCAACACTGCCCAAAGTTGCTCAGCAACATTGCTCAAAAAGTTCCCTGTGCATCATCAGCCTAAGTCATTTGTGACCCTGGAGCACAAAAGCAGTCTTAAGTCGCTGGGGTATATTTGTAGCAATAGCCAAAAATACATTGTATGGGTCAAAATTATTTATTTTTCTTTTATGCCAAAAATCATTAGGATATTAAGTAAAGATCATGTTCCATGAAGATATTTTGTAAATTTACTACCATAAATATATCAAAACTTAATTTTTGATTAGTAATATGCATTGCTAAGAACTTAATTTAGACAACTTTAAAGGCGATTTTCTCAATATTTAGATTTTTTTGCACCCTCAGATTCCAGATTTTCGGCCAAATATTGTACTATCCTAACAAACCATACATCAATGAAAAGCTTCTTTATTTAACTTTCAGATGATGCATAAATCTCAATTTTGAAAAATTGACCCTTATGACTGGCTTTGTGGTCCAGGGTCACATTTATTCTTTGCATTACACCAAGCGCTACAGTATATTCTGTATAAATGCCCCATACCATACTGATCCATATTATAATGTGTGGAAGTGAAACATGCTAAAATATAATTACTGATTCAGGACGTTGAGCTAAAACATGTTGAGTCTATATCAAAAAAGAATGGCAGTCATCAGGAAGTGTTTGGTTGCAGTTATTAAACGTAACGATGGTATAATCAGTTATTAATTGTGAATGAGCAGTTAGTTACCTTTTACAAACAGGTGATATATAATCTGTTATTTTGCAAGTAGGATGTGTTTCTAGATCAACAACTTTTGTTGGTCCTGGAGAAGGTTAAAGTTGACGACTGTGTTTAGACTATGTCTGTTTGACAGCTAAACAGATGCTGATCCAGGAACAGGCCTTACTTTGTAAAATTACAGTTATCTGTTGAATATTTTTTTTATTTATTTAAAGAAATTATCTAAAAACTTTATCTGATATCGGATAGACTTGAAAACATCCATTGGGAAGTGGACAAAGGAAAGATGGCAGCTATTTTTTTATGTCACTGTGGATTGCCATGTGTTACTAATCAAAAGAAGCATCTGGAAAGTTAGATTTTTGACCTGTGGCACTGGACAGTAAAACAAACATTTTCAGCATCACTGCCAAACACTTGTGTCTGAGCAGATGTCAATCGTCCTTATGTACTGAGCTCACCAACAAAAGACAATTCATTCACAAATATCTGTGACTGAATTTTCAAAAGGGTTATATAAATAGATCAAGTATTTAGTGCAGCTTGGCATTGCATTGCACCAAGTGAATCATGAGTCCTAACCTGTTTTCGTAAACTTGTGATAGTTTTCTGCATGTCAGCAACAAAGTCTTGGAAATCCTTAATGGAGGGTTCATTTTTTGATTTTGGTGATACAGTTATGTTTACTGCAGTTAGAGCTTCTTCCAAAGTGCTGAAAAACAAGAAAGAAAAAAAGTCATTAAAAGTATGATTAATTGATAAAATAAATAAATAAATCAACAAGTGACTTGTATGAATTATCTAACATTACTACTATAGACCCTTTTCACAGACTGTGATGACGTTTCCACAGTTATTAACATTGTAAATCTAAAAAAATATAAGTTTTTGTTTTTAATTTTTTTATTTTGAATTAATATGAGTGAATGAATATTAATGAGTCAAGAAGAATACGAGTTTTAATTACAAACACAAAAAAAACCCTAAAAACTAATGCACATTTCATATACTAAAGCAGTATACTTTGTGTTTTATCATCTTGACATTGAATTTCAGAAAACTGATTAACGCTGCTGAGAGAGTGACCAATGTAATCAATCTCTTTTTTCATCTTTTAGAAAGTCAGAGAAATGCTATCACTATCTAATTTCCGTTCACCACTATAGAAGTTCACCCAGCTTTGGCAACTTTTGCTTCTGAGAACCCCTGAAACGTGTAAAAGGTCCATTATAAGTAATGTTATGAGAATTTACAAACAATCTTTGGTGAAATCCAGAAATGAGCAGCAGACTGTAAATGGAGCTTGTGAGTTGCACCTGCTGTTGCCCGTGAGGTTGCTGGCAGGTTTCTCCTCTGCGTAGCTGTGCTCTGCTGACCTGCGGCCTCTGAAGTGGTATGACAGGGCGTTGAACTGACCTTTAGTACGGCAGTCTGCAGGTGCAAGAAATTCAGCCTTTATTTGATGCAGAAAAAAAACAGCTGTACAAACACTAGACAGCTTGTACCATGGACATTTACAGCACTGACAAATTAAACTTGTCAGCATCAATTAACGCAAAATTTGACTGGACGGACAAAAATAATGGTTCATTTTTGTTGGTTGTTTTATCTATAGGAAAATTAGATGTTGAATTCTGAAGTAAAATAATGCAGTAAGCTTACATTTATTTGAATGAATTAGAGAATTAGCATGTGTGAATTACCTGCGTCTGTGCAGCATCTTTCTACTAACAGTGAAGCTGCGAGTTTAATTGCTTCAAAAACAGCAATGTCACCACCTCGCTGCTGAGAAACAGCGTAGCTTATAAAGTAGTGGTTTTGTGTGCTACAATGAAGGGAGCGCATTAATATCCACCTTATATATATATCTTTTGTTAGTTTTGACTGCTTTTATTGTCCTCATTTGTAAGTCGCTTTTGATAAAAGTGTCTGCTAAATGACTAAATTTAATGTAATGTAAAAATGTATAATTTACAGTGAAAAACCTAAATTGACATTCCCAGAATTCTCTGTGACAGCTCACATTTTTCATTGTTTCACACTATTTTATTGAGTTTTTTATTGTTTCTCAGTTATGTACATTAGAGTTTCATGTTGCACTCTGTTGTTAAATTATTGTTTATTGCATTATTTTAGTGTCATGTGTGTTACCATAATGGTATTTTTGTATGACACATGCACCTTATATATATATATATATATATATATATATATATATATATATATATATATATATGTTTATATACAAGCGAGTCTAGCTAAAATTATTCAAATAAAAGATTTTTAACAGAATAAATTAAAAGCAACACGAAACATGTATTATAAGGTCTGGCGGAAATACTGCAGTGGTTGGATGCTGAAAATTATAGTTTCCTTTGGGTTTTGGATGCCTTTGGGCTAAAAAAAATTAGCTGGATCTGGCAGCCTTGAGCTCCTATTGTTTAACAGCTAATTACAATAAATTACATGCACAATAAGGCAAAAACAAAACAAAAAACAAAGCAAAAAAAAATGTGTGCGTTGTAGTACTATAACACAGGACCAATGTATGATAAACAGCTACACTGATGGCCCTGTAGTTAGCAGTGTGTCAGAGCAGAGGATATGGCTGCAAGATAATAATCAAGGGCCTCTTTGAAGTTCCCGTAAAACGAATTCACTGCTAAACTCAGCAAGAGCAATCAGCTTCCATCTGATAGCACATACAGAAGTAAACAAAAGATGCTGTAACAAAAGTAACCAAAAGATCATCCTATTTGATGAAATCACTGTCATCCTCTACAAAATCCAAAGCAAAAGCAAAAGTCTTTAAGATGGTCTATTCAAGAGATTTCTACTTAAAGCAATCAGGCATCCAAATTCAAATAAATGCTCCTATCCTAGATTTAAAATATATATATATTTTTAAACAATCTTCAAAAGGCTTTCGATTAGATTAATGCATCTTTGCTGAATATATATATATATATAATTATTATAATTTTTTTTACTTTTGAATGGTAGTGTATTACTGTTTCCACAAACAGTCATACACTAACACAAAACAGTTCTTTTAAATTTTAATAATGTTTCACAATATTAGAATTTTTACTGAATTTTTGATATAAAATAAAAGCAGCCTTGGTGAGCATAAGAGATCTTTGAAAAACATGAAAAAAAGTTACCAAAATTACCAAACTGATACTGATATATATATATATATATATATGATGTGAGTCATGGTAAACTGAGTCTCGTACCTTCACAGCAGTCCTGCCACATACGTAGGTCAATCTTAGGTACATCATCACAGCTTCCATAACTGTGAGGGAATTTAGCCACGCTAAAGACATCTGACTGGATTCGGGTGATGTTGTCGCTATTGTCACACAACACCCGGGCGAGAGACGTCTGCTTCAGCTGGGTCAACTGAGCAGGGCTAAAGGAGCCAGGGTTCTCATACCAAAACCTATAATTACATGAGTGAAGTTGCTGATTAATTATTTAACCGTGTCAGTTATGCACATCACCAAATAATAGTAATACCGCTTAACACGAGTATACTGTATGCACCATAGCAAATCTCAACTGCTTGATTGTATATATCGTTGAAAAATGTCAGCTATATTATTGCCCAATGATATATTAAAAGTTGGATATTTAGTACATCCTATTTTACCAGCATATATACTGTATACTCCCTCAGGGCAATATATACTATATGGCAAATCTCAACTGCTTAATTGATTATATCATCGCAAAATGTAAACTATATTATCAGCCATGCCCTAAAGTGAAAGTGACGTGACATGTGGCCAAGTATGGTGTCCCATACTCGGAATTTGTGCCGTGCATTTATCCCATCCAAGTGCACACACAGTAGTGAAACACACACACACACACAGGTTTGTGTGTGGGGACATCCCATAGGCATTATGGTTTTTATACTGTACAAACTGTATGTGCTATTGCCCTACACCAACCCTACCCCTAAACCTACCCCTCACAGGAAACTTTCTGCTATTTCAGATTTTCAATACACTCCATTCTGTGTGATTTATATGCATTTTGAAAAGTGGGGACATGGGTAATGTCCTGAAAAGTCACAATCTCCTTGTAATACCTATGTTATACCTTTGTCATTATACAAATTTATGTCCTCATTTGTCACAAAAACGCACACACACACACACACACACACACACAGACACACACACACACACACACACACACAGACACACACACACACACACACACACACATACACACACACAGACACAGACACAGACACAGACACACACACACACACACAGTGAACACACACCCGGAGCAGTGGGCAGCCATATTGCTGTGGCGCCCAGGGAGCAGTTGGGGGTTCGGTGCCTTGCTCAAGGGCACTTCAGTCATGGTATTGAGGGTAGAAGAGAGCGCTGGTCATTCACTGGCCATTCACTTCCCCCACCTATAATTCCTGATTGTACTGTTCTCTAACCATTAGGCCACGACTGCCCCCAAATATAATATGAGGCATAAATATATTAAGATATTATAATCATGAACATCATGATTTTTTTGTAAAGCTGCTTTGAAACAATAGGTCTTCTCACACTCAGAATAGTTAAGCCTGGTTCACTCTAAACCCCAGGTAAACAGAATCCTAGGTTATCTTGCTTCACGTTTCACACTGCTCACAATTTATCCGGTTAACAATTAATCTTGTGTATTCATAAGCTGATGTTTCACACTGTACATTCCTAAACCCTTGGTTAATGTTCTTATGACTGGACAAAGGTAGAACTACGTGTTTACGTATATAGCATTTACATTTGTAAGGGAAACAGGTCAATAATTTAGCTCAAAGGGAATCATTTAAGATTTTAAAGGGAACTCCACCATTAATATGCAAGGGAATTAGGACAGAATCACTGTTTTACGGTTGATCACTGAGACGGCCAGCGAGTCAGTGAACGAGCCGTATGACATCAATTCTGCAAGGGATATTTATATCCAAAATATAGTGAAAACACTATTAATTAGCATAGTAACAAGATCGGCAGTTTAAGACATTAACTTGTGAGCACAAAACACAAGATACTTCTCTTTTCCATATAAATAAGGCTTTATTGGATAAATCTTAAGACATATAAACTAATCTAACACATGAACACACGCATTCACACAAGTTTTCAGAAAGAGAGAGGAAATAATTAATTAAAGAGAATGAAAATGTGAAATCCCAAGTTTACAGCAATATGTGCCATTGTATAGATCTGAACAACCATCAATCACTTAATTAACCCTCGCACTGAGTTCCTCAATGAGGTTAAAATTGAGATTAAATGCACCAGTTCAGCTCTCTGGAGGTACTTGCGTTTCTGTGTCGGGGGTTCCCTTCCTTGTCTGCTGAAAGGGGTTAAACACACACATACTAAACATGAATATGAACCCTTAAGCTATTCAGTAGTTATTCAAAATACATTCACAATAAATAAGGCATGATGGTTAAACATGTGGGTTAGATACATGATATGGGGTTAGATATATAGCAATGGTTAGTTGCTCGAGTCCTTTTAGTGTCATTTAGATGCATCTTCACATGGAAATGAAGTTTCTTTGGCATTCTGTGGACGTAAGGAGACCAGAGATTAAAATGTCTGTAAGGAATTTTAGTCTGTCTGTTCTTGTCGTGAAGTGGGGGAAGTCAATTTACGAGGAGCTTGTGACTGTAGTTACTATCGTGTGATAGTCATGTGGTCATCTCTTTTGACCATTATTCTTGATAACTTGCCCCAAAATTTTACAATCTCCTTGGACTTGTCAATGTGTTCTTTTGTGTTAATGTTGAAAACTGTTCTGTGACAGGGGCTTAGGTTTAGGCTTGCTTCAGAGAGGCTAGGGTCTGATTTATGACATCCTGTTGTCTTGGGCCTCTGTGGAATTTTTGTGACTCCTCGTGCCTCAACTCGGTTTTGACCAAATCTTAGATTGTCTGATTCGGTCTGATATCCTACACATTGCACATCCTTATTTTATATACAGTGTTGGGAAAGTTACTTTGGAAATGTAATAGGTTACAGATTACAAGTTACCCTATTTAAAATGTAATAAGTAGTGTATAAGTAGTAGTCAATTTAAATTAGTTTATTAAAGTAATGTAACTGATTGCTTTTGAATACTTTTTGATTACTTTTATAAATTAATAATGAACGTTTTCATCTGTTAATCATTTTCAAACATTTAAAGCAGGCAGGGTTAACCTAACAGTAGTACTCAACACTGATTACTGTCAGACTTTCATCACTTGAATTTTAAAGCACAGCCACCACAAAATCAGACTTTAGCACAGCTTTTTACTTTGAGATCATTCTGAGGTTAAATACAGATTTAAAATCATAACAAGAAATAGTTTAATAGCTATGATACTTTGAAATCAAATCGTTGCATAGCTATGACAGGAAACACTGGCATCTAACAATGCCTTGGAAAAAAAAAAGTAAATTTTATATTGCGAACTGTCACATTTTTCCTAAATGGACTTATCGGACTATAAAGGTAGAATAAACACTCCAAAACAATATTTTCTTCTATCCAATTCACATTTTCCATCACTATTTGGCTTTTTTTTTTGCCTACTATTCGCACTGTGTTTCCATGACTGACTAAAGCATGCAAACATAAAGCACGCAATTCTTGGGTCTGTTGCTAAAAATCTAGCCAAGATTCGAACAGTATTGTTTAACACGGTAACTGTTTGACACCACTACGTGTCAATATGATATGGTTTGGAGCAGGATTTCATAATGTATATAAAGTGGTGCTAACCCTGCTTCTAAATTACAAGTATGAAACATGCCTTCAGTCGAGGTTAAAAATGGAGAACGACAATAACCCAGGGTAAAGCGCAGTGTGAAAAGCCCTAATGTGTATTATGAAAAGCACTGTACAAATAAGTTTTGAAATTTGAAAAATCTGAAATTTCTGAGGAACAAGGACAGGTCTTACCGGTCACCATCTCTGAGACGCTTGAACTGGGCTGCCAGTAAACACATGAGGGTCGGTCCCAGTCTGCTGCCAGGCACCAGCTCTTCAGCCATCAGAGCAGGAAACAGGTCAATATTCTGAGGTGTGCCATACAGCCTGGGAGCAGAACAGACCATTACACCCAGAAAATGCTGAATGTGTCTTTCAAGGACATGGGATTTAGAACGAGAGATTTTGCGGCTAACCTTTGAAGCTTCTCTCGCACACTGGGATTCTGAATCTCATTCCTCAGGTCATCAAATGTCTGCGCGGACGTCAGGTTGCAGAACACCCGATAGTCATTGTAAGGGGGTATACCGTGGTCACGCCCCCTTTGGATATTCATGGCAGCAAGGTCGAGTGCCACTGAATGCGCCATCGAGAAAAGCCGTTCAGTAAGTTCGGTGTTAAGCAGTTGAGTGGACACGCGCATTTTTCCTGCCACTCCAAACAAGCCACGGAGCAAAGGATCGATGCCTCCTTCGTTCACAATACGGAAGGGTGAGAAAAAAGCCTTATGCAGTGAGATATGTCCTTGCTGGATGGGCTGAAAGTTTTCATTGAGCCGGTACAGAATGGGGTTAATGAGCGTATGGCCAAAGCGGTAGGCAGCAGTTGCAAAAGCGTTGAGGATGCCAGCATTAATATTGGGATTATAGCCATTATAGTCACCCAGTAGCCTCATGCCAGCCTCACCCAGTATTTTGGGCAACCAATGGCTGTAGGTTATATGCTGCATTTGGGCTCCAACTATCTTCCGTGCCTCATGGTAAATGGTGTCGCCATCCCAATGGGGGTTGAGACGTAGCAACTCGCTGGCTATGCGGTTATGTTCACGGAACCAAACCGTGTGCATAGCCGTCAACCCAAGCTGCTCATTGGCACGATGGTCCCCAGCTAGGAAGCAAGGAATGGGACTTTCGTTTTCGTCCCGCATGCATTCTGTTGGTGGGCCAGTTGCAAAGGGGAGCAATGGCTTGCCGGTGCGTTGCACAATACCCTGCCGCAACATGCCCCGATGGCTGGCCGAGTCACGGATCTCTTCTGCCTCATGCTGTGAGCTGCCGTAAACATTGGAAGCATCGATGTAGGAGGTGAGCTGGTTCATCTGCTCACGTGGATACACAGAGTTCATAAGCAGAGAGGTCATTCCACTGCCGCAAACGGGACTAGAGCGCACAAAAAACATGCAACGTGCTCCGTTGCGCTGCTGCCGTGGATCGTCCGGTGGGAACATGATGGGAAAGCAAGGTGGGTCATTGGTGCACACCGAGGTGCACAACTGTCCATCGGAGAAACGAGACTGGCTGAGGGATACGACAGTTGAATCCAGGTCGTGGTCAAGGAACTGGCCCCACTGCATAAGCATGTGTGTGTAGCGATCATCTGGGGTGATGGTCTCTGTTCCGATCATGGTGGTGGAGACCAGACGTGGAAGTGGCAGAGGGAAGCCATTGTGCCTTCGCTCAGTGGCACCACGTGGGAGATTAAAGCCATTGTCGTAGACGGGCTTTAGCAAGCGTTCGAAGGCAGTGAGCGAGGCTCCCCACATGGGGTGCTGCAGGTTGTTGCAAGTGCCATCATGGGTGCGATACTTCTGGTGGAAGCAGATATCCGAGCAATTGTTGAAGCGTCGATGAGCCGTGCAGCCAGACAGGTTAGCTATCATATCCAGAAAATGCGGTGACACCAAGTCATTGTAGCGGTAGGCTGTTAAGAAAGAGTGTGCATTTAGTAAAATAATTTTGATCTTGGTTAAAAAAAAGTGTTGGGCTACTACTATTTTGTAAAGAGACAAATACAGTTGTAATGAAAGGCACTAAAGGTATAGTTCATCCAAAAATGAAAATTATGTCATCATTTACTCACCTTCATGTAAATCTAAACCCATCAGACTTTGGTTAATCTTTGAAACACAAATGAGGATTTATTTAAATGAAATCTGAGATCTCCATTGAAAGTTCAGGTAATCAAAACTTAGAAGATCTGAAAAATGAATTTACATGTATTGAGTGTTTTATAACCAGGTCTTGTGAAGAGGCATGCTTATTTTAGGCTTTAATTTACATCTAAACAATGATCGACACACATGCATAGAGAACATCACATATGGTAAACACAGAAGCTCAAACACACACGTGTGTGATGCGCAAGCTTCCATGTTTTCCATATGTGATTTGTTCTATGTATGTATGCTTATCTGTGAATAAAGGCCTAAATTAAATCTGTTGATCATATAAAGTTATTGCACGCACTCATTTTGGATTTTGACACTGCTATATTAATTTGAATCATATTGAATCATTGCTTTAGTATCAAGTCTTTTTAGTATCAACCAATTTAGATAAACCTGCCATTAAATTAGCTGCAAAGTGGACCGGAACCTATGACGGTTAAAATTCTGGCTATGTTAGACTAGTTAGCAATAGATGCTGTGCTTGTTGACCCCTTCTTGGTACTTGTGTCAGTGAATGTGTCCAGAGGGTAAATGCTCAGACTGGGGCAGGGCTTGTCCAAACATGGCAGGCCATTTTGCCTTAGTGTGGCGATGAAAGCTGTGCTGTTGTCATAACCAGAAAAAACAGTGACCCATGTCTTCTGCAGCACAAAGCGACACAGTGTCTGCTCATCATTTAGTAAAGCAGACACATTTCTATTGCCATATTAGGGGTGGGACAAAATAACGATATGGCAATAAATGGTTTTCCTTCTTCGTGCGATACGAGAATCGATACGCTGGCGCCAAATATCGATATTTTAATTAACAAAATAAGGCGCTCTAAATAGATTTCCCTGCTCCTAGCGTCACTACTTCATGGCTCCTCGAGGTGGCGCTCAACACATGAATGAGGGAAACGTGAACATAAGTTAACTAGCCTAAGAAAATTTGGTTTTTAATGGGATGGTGGACAGCAGTGTGAGTAAAATAATAGATGCCCCAGCCACATTTATTTCCAAAGTCTGGACCCACCTCGGTTTGCACGGATGCATGCAGCTCTTAAAGTGACAGCAGACTAAAAGTACTGAACATGCTGCCGCTTGTCATTAAACGGATAGTTCACACAAAAAATTCTGTCATTATTTACTTGCTCTCATGTTGTCCCAAACCTGTATTCATTTCTTTCTTGTACTGAACGCAAAATAAGATATTTTGGGTAACCAAACAGTTGCTGCTCCCCATTAACTTTCATAGAAGAAAAACAAAATACTATGGAAGTCACTGGGGACCAGAAACTGTTAAGTTACCCACATTCTTCAAAATCATTTTTATGTTCCACAGAAGAAAGAAACTCATTCAGCTTTAAAACAACTTGAGAGTGAGTAAATGATGACAGAATTTTCAGCAGTTTGGACTTGAATGAAGAGAGAGAACCTGCACCTCTTCACAGGCATTTTGTTTTCATAGTTAGACAGATATTGTGATGTATCATTATTATGATACAATATTCAGTTATCGCAGAATTGCTGTATCGGGATAATATCGGCCTCGTGAGTCATGTATCTTATCGAATCGTGATGCACCCTGTGATTCCCACCCCTATGCCATATACTACTTTATTTCACAATAACAAAATCCCAATAACAAATAATATGTCATTTGAAGAGCGGCATTATGGTGTGAGATACCTGTTCCATTAGTGTCCACCATGAGGCCCTGGTTGACATGCCTCTGGATGAGAAGTAGGGTCTGCTCAAAAATCTCTCCAGCTCTGGCCTGCTCCACTGTGTAGGGGTCCCGGGGGTAACGAAACAAAGCCAGAAGCTCACCAGGGGTACGAGGAGATCTGATGATGGTGGAGAACACATTAACTTCCACATTCACAAAAGCCATTCAGACTCACTCTGGAAGAGAATACAAATTAGCAAACTATAGACCTGCATTTCGTCTAACAGATTAGTAGATCGATCTTGTAGCACAATCTCATAATTTCTTATTAATCAATTCAAACCTGTTTTTGAACTGTGGACAGTGCGAGACACCCCAGGTGAATAGGGTAAAAAATTAAATAGATATCACCATATTTCCCCAATTGACTGATTCCATTAGGAATTGGAAACATTTTTTGTATTTCAAATTTTCTGAAATTTTCTTTAAATATGCAAAAGAGGATTAACTTCCACATTCACAAAAGCCATTCAGACTCACTCTGGAAGAGAATACAAATTAGCAAACTATAGACCTGCATTTCGTCTAACAGATTAGTAGATCGATCTTGTAGCACAATCTCATAATTTCTTATTAATCAATGCAAACCTGTTTTTGAACTGTGGACAGTGCAAGACACCCCAGGTGAATAGGGTAAAAAATTAAATAGATATCACCATATTTCCCCAATTGACTGATTCCATTAGGAATTGGAAACATTTTTTGTATTTCAAATTTTCTGAAATTTTCTTTAAATATGCAAAAGAGTCATTATCTAATTAAATATGCACTAATTTGCATGCATTTTCACCACGTTTTCAAGAATAAAACGTTCTATAAAATCAGGTGAATGGTATATGAACAAACCCCTTTGTAAAAGCTTTCAGAATATAAATAGGAATAAAGATTTAAGGAGATTTCTGACATGAGAAACTCATTTTGAGAAAACGGCCTATTTAGGTTAGTATTGTAATTAACATCTACAGACGCAAAAAGATAAAGTGCAATAAAATAAACATTTAAAAGTTTATTTTGGATGTTTTTTTTCCCTTAGACTGAACACATTATGAAAAGCCAAATAGCCCAAATTCTCAGAATGGCAAGCGCATGGGAAAAAATAAAAATAAATATTCTGCCAGTCTTGCTTCAAATCAACAAACTATAAATAAAGGAAAAAAAGCACAAACTAGAGAGATTGAATATTCTGCAGGAACATGCATCATGCTGAAATGGTGACAGATTATTAAAGCAAAATGGAAACTATGTCATAGTGAAAAGCACATCTGAACCCCATTGAAGAGCATAAACGACCTGTCAAAGCACTTGACATGGCCACATATGCACATGACCTTCTTTCAAGCATTTAATAAAAGTGCTTCCATACCTTAGACAACTTGGACCATACACTTGTTTTCCCCGCTGAAGCTCACTCTGAAAACGGTTTTCAAACGTATGCCTTCAAGTGCAGTCACTGATGAAGGCTCTGTACCTAAAGTTATGCCATTCTTAAGTAGTTTTTGCAGCCCTAATTGTCTAAAGAATTTATGATTTGAGAGTAAAAATGTATTTCCTTCGTTCTCACTAAATATTCATAACACAATAAACTGCCTAGAGTTATTTGAACAAAATATATTTGACTACAACCAACTTAAACCACAAACTGTAAAAGTTACATTCTAATAAGTGGCATCATAAAAGCTGTCTACAGTAAAAAGCCTATAGCCTAACAACCTGGCTTCAGTTATTTAATTTACGTCAGAATAACTACAATCTAATTCAGTGTTTACTGGGGTTATTTGAGAGAACCATATAACAGAAAGAATAACCATTTTGCCAAAGTCAACTGTAAACATTTTCTCCAAGGCTGTTGGTGCAGATTCAAACAAAAGCTAAAGAACATCAAAGTCTTGCAGCATTAATATATTTTTTATCATTCAAGGAGTTAGCTTCACTTCACATATTATCTCTTGTGAATTAAGGAGGTGCCAAGTTATAACAATATATCTGAGGTCATTTGTGCCAAAAACATTGGCAGGATTATTCATGATTTTCTCCCATGACCAGTTGTCTTGGACTGCGTACATTTTATTAAATGTCTTGGCAAGCTTAGTCAAAACGTCAACTTATGACGGTCATGAGAAGAAAAAAAGGACATCAGTTTTGCAATTCCAAATCTAATCTTTGGTTATCTCTCTTTACCAGGATAACATCTCTCAGACTTCATTCAAAAGCATGTGCCTTTGAAACAATCCTCTCCAGCTATGAAACACAAACACTCTCAATGAGTTAACATGAGCTGGCACTGGCCTCGACAGACAAAATAACCCCCAACATCAAGCTCAGAGCGCAGTGATCAATTAGGAATCATACCGCAGTGACCAGCCCTTGTCCAAGGCATAAATGGTCCCAGTAAATTCCTGATGGGTTACGGCATTGTGACTCACAGCAGAAGGAATTGTTTTCTTGGCATGTTTTGCCTGTAGCACCAAACGCTTACCCGTCAAAGAGCTGCCTCCTGGTGGAGTCTATTGCGCTGTTTATGCTCCGAATGGCCTCTTCAAGAGACGTCGAGACAAACGGATCACCCTCCCTGCTCACCTGCGGGACTGGAGAAAATTATACAAACATCAGTATAAATAAAAGCTTGTGAATTCGGAGTTTAGTAGGAAATTATAATGTGCACATGGGATTAAAAACTGAACAGAAGCTCCATTCATTAACTGGCACTTATAATCATGCGATTATTTAAAAATGTAACTGAATTAATTGCATGATATGCCAAATTATTGAATCGAATCAAATATCAAATATTTGCTGAGAAAAGTCTACAAATCTAATACATTACATTATTTTCACAGATGAGTAAATAAACATTACAACAAGTGTAAGACCCTCGTAGCAGATTTAGACATGTGGAGCTGGGGGAGGTGGAGGAACCAATTGTGCAGGACTATCTTACAGTAAACAATGAGACAGATTATTCAAATCTCATTGGCTACAGATCCAGCAGAGACCAGGAAGCTTGTGCCATTTAGTACTGCTAGCAGATACAGGATTGTTTCACTCCATGCGGTGCTGTGTAGACTGATCAGCATCCGACTTAAAGCAATGCATGGCAGGTAGCAATTTTGTCCAACTTGAGACAGCACTGAGCTTGGAGCTGGAATGGCAACATAGCTGTTTCACAATTGGCAGGATTCTCAATTGAAGATGAGTTTTTACTGTTTAAAAAAAGGCTTATGTTTACCCTATTCCTGTATATACAGGCGCGTACTGCGTAAGCAGTACAACGTATTGACCGAAAAGCGTTTCTCTTGCTACATGAAAACATTTGAAACGTCTGTGTATCTGACAAATATTGAATATTTATTTTTGTATAACAATATTTAAAATATTTATTTGTGATAAAGTATGCAAACACCGTGTAAGCATCACTATGGGAAGCAGAAAATGTCAAACTTCACGTCTCTGTTTTTAACTTTCCCATCTGCAAGTGGCAAATCTCGATGATCAATTAAATCCAGTTAAACACATCTTACATGGCAAGGATCTATCAGCTCGAGTCAGTCTACATTTTCATGAATAAACTGGTCATTTCAATGTGAAAAAAAAAAAATGTGTCCAGACTCCTGTACTCATTTTGTTATGCTCCATCCAGTTGTTTTTGAACACAAAAAGCATTATTTCAGTTAGTGGTCATCCAAAGTTTGTTTTTCAGTGGTCTTAAATTAAATTTGATCACCCTCCCACCTCAAAATCCTAAATATGTGGTTACAGCCTTCAATTCTTACCTTGCACTGTTAGCACCATACTAGATGAGGAATATCCAATGGAGTTGCGGGCTACACACTCATATCGTCCCCCATCGGCAAGCCCCACGTCTTGCACTTCCAGATAGCCATCTGGATTGATATGAAACTTCCCACTCTCTGTAATCTGGACTCCATCCTGTAGATCAGGGCCAGAGATTGTTTAAATGAGTCTGTTCACAAGACCAGGATAGTCCCATGGGGACCAAAGTGGCGGAAATGGATGGATGGCCAGTTGTTGGGGAATGTGGCAGCTAATGGATCTAACCTTGCTCCATGTGATGATAGGTGTGGGCTCACCCTGCGTTACAGCCTTCAATTCTTACCTTGCACTGTTAGCACCATACTAGATGAGGAATATCCAATGGAGTTGCGGGCTACACACTCATATCGTCCCCCATCGGCAAGCCCCACGTCTTGCACTTCCAGATAGCCATCTGGATTGATATGAAACTTCCCACTCTCTGTAATCTGGACTCCATCCTGTAGATCAGGCCAGAGATTGTTTAAATGAGTCTGTTCACAAGACCAGGATAGTCCCATGGGGACCAAAGTGGCGGAAATGGATGGATGGCCAGTTGTTAGGGAATGTGGCAGCTAATGGATCTAACCTTGCTCCATGTGATGATAGGTGTGGGCTCACCCTGCGCGCTGCACGGAATCTGGACATCTGATCCAGACTCCACAGTCGTATCCCTTGGAGCGCTCGTGAAAACAGGCGTTACTGGTGATGTAAAAACATATGTTAATGATTACAGCGCACAAAACCGCAGCTGCTGCTGAGTCATGCACATAATGCACAACATGAAAAGAACATGCACAGGTCATACATGGTGTTGAGATGTTTCTGTAATTCAAGTCAATGAAAGGGCAAGGGGTTGAGTCTGAGAAGCATATGCGAGTCTTCAAGGCCAAAATGGATTTGTTTGTTTAAAGAGCTTTATCTAAACATTTTAACCCCCCCAAATCTACGAGTTGGTTCACACGATCCTCTGAGGAGACCTCTGAGGTCCTTAAAGGGATAGTTCAGTTTGCTGTTAATTTACTCACCCTCAAGCCATCCAAAATGTAGGTGACTTTTGAGTGAACTATCCCTTTAAGTGCATATTTACCCCTTTACAGTTGTTCTAATCTATAAGAATTTCTGCTAATCATCAGCTCAGTCATTTCGTCACTAGTCACTCACTGCAAAACAAATATTTCCGTAGAGATACAAAATGCCTTAATATTTTAAGTCTTGTTTTGTGAAAAATATATCAAAATTAAGCGAGTTCCTCCTTAAAATGAAATAATAATCTACCAATGGGGTAAGAAAAATAAACTTACTTTAAAGGGAAAACAAGATTCTCATTATTCTTATCTTAATGGAAGATATTTTTCTTGCTAAGCATATCTTATGTAATTTTGCTTTTCAAGTACAGCTCTGCTCACAAGTTCACATACCTCTTGCAGAATATGCAAAATGTTAATAATTTTAACAAAATTGCATGCTATGTTTTATTTAGTACTTTCCTGAATGAGCTATTTCTCATCACAGATGTTCACATATACTGCACAAGACTGGATTTATAGAAATGACCCCGTTCAAATGTTTACATACCCTTGCATCTTAAATCTGTGCTGTTATCTGAATGATCCATGACTGTTTTTATGTTTTGTGATAGTTGATCCTGAGTCCTTTTTTTTTCTTTTCTGAGCAGTTCAACTGCCGGCTGTTCTTCAGAAAAATTCCAAGTCCTGCACATTCTTTGGTTTTCCAGCATCTTCTGCATATTTGACCCCCTTTCCAACAGTGATTGTATGATTTTGAGATCTATCTTTTCACACTGAGTCTATTCAGGACAGTACTAAATTAAAATAGCATGCAATTTTTACAATCCCTCCTATTTTGTTAAAATTATTAACATTTTGCATATTCGGCAAGATGCATGTGAACTTATGAGCAACAAACGCATCTTGATTTAAGAATGTTATTTATTTTTTTTACTGGAAAACAAGACAAAATTACAGAGTAAGATTTTTTGTTGTTGTTTCTGTGTAATTGCACAATTTTTGGGTGAACTATTCCTTCCATGAACTCCTAAACTTTCATTATAGTCTGTCTTTCTGCAGCTGTTATAACAAGCAGTATTTCTCACAACCCTCTCGGTCTCTTTACTCTCTCCATTTCTTCAGATACTTCCCGTAAACCTGTTCTAAATAAAAGCGACCATGAGCCAAACCTGTGCCTGGGTTTTGAAGTAAATACAGGCGGTTGTTATGCAGTGTGTTAACAACCATTACTACATGGAAACATCTTGCCATGTGGGAATTTCAAAGCTGCATGCTTTCCTGGCTACTCAACAAGTCTGTAATAAAGCTTAAGAGGTGGTTTTTAAGGCACTTACATGCAGGGACCTGGTCTTACATCTGTCATTGAGACTTTACGGGGTATTGTTGTTCTAATTGAAGGCTTTGCTGGTGGGTAAATGACAAATTAGTTTATGAAGCCAGCCCTCATTCCTTCCTGTTAATACCATGTCTAGTCTTGTTACGACAGACCGATGAATGAGGAATGGACTTACAGTGTATGGTGTTAGGGGTTTCTTTTGTGCTATACTGAAGTAGATACATTTGTGGGCAGCACTGATAGCCATGCACAGGCTTTTTTTCTGATCTTCAGAGCTGCTTTCATCAAGTCCATCAAGTATTATTCAGTTTGGCATTAGCACAGCATTTCTGCTGAATTTACAGCACATGACTATATTTTTTTAACTTTAATTTTAGTAAAAGTTTTAGAAAGTGTGATTTTGTCATTTTTATTATTTTTTATATGTCAATATAGTATTTATTTATTATTATTAAATAATCTTTATTATTAATAAATTAATAGTATGTATACCATATACTGTATATACAGTATATACCGTAACTGTGAACAGAACTGTTCTGTGTAGGATTTGGGCCATGCTGGCCACCTCTCGTTGAACATGCTGAAATAATCTATGTCAGAAGGGGATTTATTTTGTGAACAGGATCTCACTGGGTTGCAGGATGTTGAGATGAACAGCTGCTCGGGCAGTGCCAACAGGACTGACCGCCTGGCACTCGTACTGGCCCTGGTCATGAAGGGCCACGCGGCTGATGCGCAAGCTTCCCGATGAGAGAACAACGTGCCGTCTGTCATTAGGCAGGGGGCTGCCTATGGTAGGAGAACAGAGTTTTAGTGACGCTGAAAACAGTTGATAAATACTGACAGACAGCAATTCAGTCATCTTTAAATGTGTCCTTTTTAAGGAATGTTCAGAAGAAATTAAATGCTGTTGATTCTGACTCATCTCTCAGTTTACAAAACTCATGTTTACAGTACATACAACTGTGTAGGCAGTGCTAGAATGCATCCAGTCAGAATTTCATAATCAGACCCTTGTTTATTGTACTGAATGTACACTTGTAAGGTACTTCAAATCTTAAAAGGATATTTTTAAAAACTGTACTTGCAGATAATAATATTAATGAAATAAAATGCAACTTATGTGTACTTTCCTGACATATATGTGCAAACATGGACCACTCTAGCAAGTCAAACAGACAAGGCGGCATTATGTCATCTCACCGCCGCGAGTCCATGCTATGACAGGCTGAGGGTAGCCGCTGGCCTCGCAACGAAAGTCAACTGTAAGACCCTCCAGCACAGACTGGTCCTGAGGGGTCACTGTGAACTGAGGACGAGCTGAGGAAAAATAAATGAAACATGAACAGAACTACTCTTTCATATCAAACAGGTATAAGCTTTGGACCAACTCAAAAAAAAAAAAAGTTACAATGCATTAGTTTTTCTCAGATTATAT